CCCCAAAACCCCAAAACCCCAAAACCCCAAAACCCCAAAACCCCAAAACCCCTTCTAAATTTTTGCTCTTCAAAAATCTTTTTTAAAAATAAAAATATGCGATTAAGCTTCTTCTATCATATCCTTTGGGGATACAACATTTCCTCCATCAACTGGTACCACAGACTCGGCGACTGTTACTACTTCAAGTTTCAGAACTTCCAAAAAATCAGGACGGCAATGGTCCTGATCGGCCTTATCCATATCTTCCTGATGTTTTACTTAGATATGAAGAGAGTTCTCTTCTTAATCCAGGACTGGAAATAATGTATTGGACTTCTTCAGTCTCTTCTTCGTGTTCATCTACTCAGGATTCCAGCGTACGAAGATCCTTCTCGAAACCAAGCTTTATTTCATCCTTAATGACCCTAATGGGGAATTCTGGAATAAGAAAGTTGCTAAAGAGCATGAGGATGATGTACAACCATATACAACCTGGAAACAAGTGGTGATTTTGTATGAAGTGGCCATCACGATCAATTTATTCCATACATACTTCTTCTGGGTGCATTGGTATTCAGAGATAATAGAGTATTATAAAAACAGGCAGCCACAAGATGAATTAAGCATATTGGTAAGAGTATCATTAGCACATTCAATTAATTTGATACCTCCAATCATGCTTGCATTTGATTTTATGTTCTCAAAAGTGGTGTTTAACTACAGACATTGGTTCCTACCTGCTTTGACGCTGATAATATACAAATGAGTCACTCTTGGTGGAGAGTATGTGATTGAATATGAAGAGATGCCACATAATGATAATGAAAAGGCAGATAATATCTATTTCTTCCTTATGGTAATGTCAATAATCACAGGTTTGTACCTCTTCCTGGCTTTTGTGACTAAAATTAAATATTGGATCTTTAAGCCTAATTTTCCACAAGAAGGGAAATACATGTTTATTGACCGCTGAGTAAAGAAAGCCTTCTTTGATGCCTTCGATACTAATTTCAATGATGAAAATGCTGACATCAGTTGTAGTGAAGATGGAGTTGAGGTTATAAGAGGAGAAACAGAGTTCATCAAAGAAGCTTGCAAAAATTATGCTTTCCGAGATTCTGGACTTGAGGAAAATATCCCAGAGCTAGCATATTCCATCTCAATTCGCCCGCCTACACCTCAGCCAGGTGAATTTTTTAGAAAATCAGAGAAGAACCTATTAACCAGGATTAAGGAAAAACTATTTTTAAAAAAGGACATCAAAACCCATATCGAAATGGGAAATATAAGTTCGAGCAGTGAAGAAAAATCAATAAAACCCCATCGCAATTAACCCACAGAACTAACATATTCCCCTTTCAACTCCCTTTCCACCTCTTGGGGTTTTGGGGTTTTGGGGTTTTGGGGTTTTGGGG